TTGTTTGTTACACAGTTTCCTTTAAAAGCTTATTAGTGCCTCCGTCCCCTTTTTTGGGGTGGTAGGGGTGATCATACCCAGCGTTGCTCAGGGTTTCCTCCTGGCAGGAATCACTTCGGGGTGCTGGGGATTGAATGGGGGTCTGCCGAATGCAAGTCAAGTGCCCTACCCACTTTACTAGCTCTCCAGCCCCCCTTCCCCAATCTCTAACTTTTAGACAGAGTGCTGAATTGACATCCTTATATATTTAACTTTGTGCTCACATTTTGAGAAAATTCAGCTTTTTTTCAAAATGGCTAACATCTTTAAAACAACTCTATTATCTTCCACTGAGTTTAAATGCTATCTTTATGTGTATACTGGATTTCTGTATAGCCTTGGGTTTATTTTTGGACTAGTATATTTCATTAATTCATTCTCTCATGTGACATGGTCTTAATTCCTCTAATTTATGATTTTCTCTTCACTATCCAACAAGCAGGTCCCTTTCTCAGAATGTTTTTCAGAAATTAAAAAAAAAAACGAAGCAAAATCAGACCCTTGAGGGGCCTGGGACATATCCTTGAGGGGCCTGGGACATAGTTCAGTGAGTAGAGCACTTGCATGCTTGAGGTTCTGATTTTTGCCCCTGGCACTTCATCGCCCCTCCCAAGCACTGCTGGGTGTGGTCTCTCTATAAAAGAAGAAATACATTTATAAACATAAAATTATCATTTTTAATTCTTAATGTTATCAGAAATGGGCTGGAGTGGTAGCACAGCGGGCAGGATGTTTGCCTTGCATGCTGCCGACCGGGTTCGATTCCTCCATCCCTCTCGGAGAGCCTGGCAAGCTCCCCGTGACATATTCATTATGCCAGGAACAGTAGCAACAAGTCTCACAATGGAGACATTATTGGTGCCTGCTTGAGCAAATCGATGAACAGCGGGAGGACTATGCTACAGTGGACAGTGCTACATTATCAGGAATAAGCCCTCTTGTGATTGTTTCTTTTACTGTTTTCCTCCAAAGAATGTTTTGAATTTTGCTTTGTTACTAAAGCACTGTTTTTAGTCAATATAAAGTATCATAAAATATTAATTTTTAATGGTAATTTAGAACTTAGTTGTCTCTTTAAAGCTTGGATCTCTCTGCTACAAACAATATAGGTCTCTTCATTAGTTTACTAGAAATCTTTAATAGAATTTTATAAATTTTCTTTTCATATTTTATGAGTCTATTCTTAGTGATTATATGCTATTTTCCAATTTATAATATATATGTACTTCATATTGTCTAGACTGTTATCTTAACATGGATAGACATTATATATTTTTGTCATAATTTTAAGAATTTACCTTAATGAGCCAGCCAGCCAAGATCATTAAGGTAAATTCATAAAATTATGATAAAATATATAATGTCTACTCGTGGAGTATTCAATATGCCAAAAACAGTAACAACAAGTCTTACAATGGAGATGCTACTGGTGCCCGCTCGAGCAAATTGATGAACAATGGAACTACAGTGCTATGGTGCTACCTTAATGAGAACTCATTTTTTAGAATCAAATAATCATCAAATAGTAGTTATTTTGCCTTTTTGTTTTCAAACCCATCTACCTTTTACTTGTTTTTTTTTAAAATTACATTATCTTTCATTATTAAAAATGGGTAATGGTGATGAGCCTAAGTCTGTCTAATTTCTGCTTTCAAGGAATGGTTCTACATGCTCTACTCTTATTATTAACTAGATCTCTTACAGTTAGGCTGTGCATGTATATATCAAATTAAAGAAGTTTACTTTTTTTTTTTTTTGCTTTTTTGGGTCACACCTGGTGATGCACAAGGGTTACTCCTGCCTCATGCGCTCAGGAATAACTCCTGGCAATGCTCGGGGGATCATACGGGAATTTGGGAATCGAACCTGGGTCGGCTGCATGCAAGGGAAATGCCCTTCCTGCTCTGCTATTGCTCCAGCACAAAAATTCACTTTTAATCCTATCAGTTAAAACTTTCTAGAAGTGGCGTGGGGGTGGAGAGATAGTAGAATAGTCAGAAGCACTTGCCTTATTTGTTGTAGACCCCTTGATTTCACTGTTAATGAACATTGGACCCGCTGCTTCTGGGGATGCTTATAGGAGAGCAGTTCAGTGACTGTCTGTATTCTTTCAAGACTGGCTCTTATTTTGCATCTGGAAACTTAGATTTGGTAGGTTTCTTGCACTTACTGATAAGAGTGGCTCACTTAAACTGTATAAATGGTAGCTTTATGATGGACACTGCTTTACTTAGGCGAGTCTGGAATTTGAGTTGGGATAACTATGGGAACAGCCTCCTTTATGCGGGTGAGATGCTCTCGGTAGCTTGCCGGGCTCTCCGAGAGGGGAGCAGGAATCAAACTCGAGCCAGCCTGGCCGGTCCCTTGCAAGGCAAATGCCCTACCGCTGTGTTATCGCTCTAGCCCTGCTATCGCGGGTAGGGTGTTTGCCTTGCATGCAGCCAACATGACCAACACGTGGAGAATTATTTTTCTAGGCCAATAAAAGTTGTGTTTATTTTACACTAAGCAGTATTTTCCTTACTTTTATATCCCCAGTTGGAAAAGCACAATTAAAACATAAATTTAGCAAAATGAAATTTAGTCAATTAAAAAGCACAGATCTGGAGAACTTACTAAGGTAGATATATGTAGCTTTAAGGTCTGTCATTTATTAAGTGAAGAATTGCAAATTTTTCTTTCAGCTAGTCATCTAAAAGTCAGTCGTAGTTCATCAAGAGTCATTTAGTCATTTGAGTCCTATTGATGATCTGGATTTTATTTTGAGACTGGTACACCAAAGAATGTGGCCACTGTTTCTTCCTTCAGTCAGGGAGTCTTCATTTGTTTAGAGCTCATTGTATCCACCATTTAACTAGTGGACAGTGATGTGAGTCATGTTGAAGAATAAAATTTTGAAATCAGTTGCCAGTAGCTTTGAATTTCATGGTTGGCACAGGAGATGACAACGCTGTTTTAAACCTCAATTGAGTAACCCAGCCAGAAGAACCCAAAACAAAATTCAAAAACAGGTGAATCCTTTGTCTATCCTTGGTGTTATGTTAGAGTAGCAGTTGGCCTGCGGGTTAAGTTCAGACACTTTTCAGTAAAGAGTCTTATTGAATTATAGCCGTGCACGTTTATTTAATGGTTGTCTGTGGCTATTTTTAGTTTCAGTAGCAGAGTTAAATACCAGTGACAGATGCATAGCCTGCAGAGTGTGCTCTCTGAGCTTTTGCAGAAAGTCAGGTTGTGTAGAAGACTTTAAATGATTGACTCACATTATTTCCTGACATCCTCTTTAAGCAGGATTTGGTCTTTCAGACACAGGTGACTAGAGGCGATTCCATTTTTAGGGTTCTCAAATGAAGACCTGGTTGAGGGAGCGGGATTTCCCTTTGCACTGAGGGGGATCTGTGGCTAGTCCTCTGCTGGTACTGCTGCTGTGGGGGCCAGGAGCTCCTTGTTTCCCTGGGGTGGGCTCCTCCCTGTCTCAGTCCTCTTTGTGTTTACCTGCCTTTTAGCACTGTTGTTGTGCAGCCCATTGGGAATGGGAGTGGGTAACTGAGGGACCTGGGCCATGAGGGTCTCCTATAGTCTGTGGGGATAAAGACCATTCTTTTTTCATACTCCATGGCCATGAAGGGTCTGGATAAGGAAGTTTAAAGATTATTGATGGCTAGATATTTAATTCTGGTCTGTGGAGAGCTCAGGAAGGTGTGAGGGCACATCTGATTAGATTCCCTGAGTGCGAGAGGAGCAGTTGGCTGTCCTCTGAGTTCTTAATCGCATTTCCATCTTGTGCATCCAATTGCTAGTGAAGACTCACACACGCTTGCTGGGTGGGGCAGTACCTGCAGACACAACTGAAATGTGAGCATATAAAAACATTGTTAAGCTTTCCAATAACATCAGTTCCCCTCTCTAGCATGTAAAACTGTTGTTCAAGTTGTACCTCTTTGGTTTTAAGTTCTGTTTATAGAAATGCATGTAATGCCTTTAGAGGAAGTATCTCAAAATGAGATTAAGTAATGTTTTGGTAATGACAGGAGACCTGATCCTCAGAACTACAAGTTTGGACTGGATATTGTAATCTGGAGAAAAATCTTGGGATATTGTTTTTTCAAGGAGATTAAGAATCAAAGCGAATTAGTTTGCTCTAAGCTTTTGTTTATGAATGTTATTTTTGTGACTACAGTGACTATGATTTGGGGTTGGGAAGCTCCCAAGAAGTGCTCAGGGGGCCCAGGCAGACTGAGTCAGAGGTCAAATGCTAGCACTCAGGGTGTGGTTGCTCTCATGCCCTGAGTGCCAGGAGCCAACCCAGCGGTGTTTGGAGCTGACCAAGCCATGCCAGCTGGCGCTCAGGGCCCCCATGGCTGTGCCCCATCATGCTCTCCATGTAGGGCTGGGATTGAACCAGGGTCAGATGAATGCAAGGCATATGCTCTAACCCTAGTATGGCCTCCCCGGGCCCCAGAGGCTGTAATTTTTATGAACTATTTAGGATGATTTTGAACCCAAACCTCTGAAATTATTTGAAATTTTATTGTTTTGTTTATTCTGTTTGTGATACAAGTGTAGATCTATGCCCAACTGACATTTCTCTATGTATAGTTAGCTACACTAACCTTAGTAAGTGTAACTGGGCTGAAAGAAAGTTCTGAGTGTTGATTTTCTTTTTCCTGAAAAATATGAGGACTTAACTGGGCAGTTTTTTTTTTTTTATGAAGACTTCTAAGTGCTATAGTGCTTGAAGAACTTGGTATTTTCCTTTCTTAATATATTGCAACAGTGAAAATAGTAGATTTCACAGAAGTATGCTGTGTTGCTGAATGAGCTAATAAATATAGTAGTAATGATAAAATTGCTCTTGTATGATTGTTTTTACAAAGTACTTTATATTTCATTTTAGCTTTGTTTGTAGTATGTGATTTTCTTCTCGACCACTAATGCTAATTCTTCTTTGTATAATAGATCAGTGACTGTCGCCTGTTCTACAAGATGAGTAACAGCCACCCTCTTCGCCCCTTTACTGCTGTTGGGGAAATTGATCATGTGCACATATTGTCTGAACATATTGGTGCCTTGTTGATTGGGGAAGAGTATGGCGATGTCACCTTTGTTGTGGAAAAGAAACGTTTTCCTGCCCACAGGGTAATTTTAGCAGCAAGGTGCCAATATTTTCGGTAAGCATGTAAATACTTTTTGAAGATTTAAGTCATTTGTGGAAAACACTGATATTTTCAATTTTATGGAAAATATTTACTCAAGAATAACAAATTCTAGGAATTCTTCAGCATCAATGAGAATTTCATCATTGCAGACTTTTTATTGTGTTTTGAAATCAACGTTTCCTTCAGGACCCATTCAGAACTACAGGATTAGAAGGCTTCCATGCTAGATTATACTCAATCATTTATTTATTAAGGCTTTGAGCATATTTGTCAGTTTGGGGCTTTGTTGCCTTCATCTTCTGTTCACAGTTAATGACTAAAGAAATTTATAGTGATTTTTGTTGTATTGGTAAGTATACCTCTAAATTTTCTAATAAACATATATACCTTTTGGCTTCAAACTGCTGATGTCTAGAACATGTAGGTAACTCAGCAACTATATCTCTGAGATGCGGTTTGACAACCCCAAATTAAAGTAATGTAAGTAATTGACTTACTTGATGTTGTTTTAGTACTAAAACTAAACAAAATATGCATTTAATAAATATAAAAGTGGCCTACTTAAGTGTAGCTATTATTTCTTTGAATAGCTAATCTTCAGGATTAGCTGTTCTACACTATGTTTACAGTGCTGCATTTTACCTAATATTAAGCTAAAAAGGAATCATCATATTAGCAGATTATTGACGGGATGACAGTTTATTTCTGATGAATCCAGAGTTCATTCTGCATAGAGTCATAGGCATACCTGGAAAATTTGGTAATTAAAAAGCAGAGATGTGAGTGGTTTAGAGAAAATATCTGTTAGGATGATTTACAATCAGAATTAACGAATTCAGCGAAAGCAACAATACCTAGAGTCACACACACATTACAGTGACAAGTGTCTTTGCGAGACTTCTCTGACTTCAACTCATAATACCATAGTTACAGTGACAAGTGTCCCTGGGAACCTTCCTCTCTGACTCCAGCTCATAATACCATAGTTACAGTGTTGAGTGTCTCTGGGAGCACTTCCTCTCTGTCTCCAATTCATAATACCATAGTTACAGTGACGAGTGTCTCTAGGAGCACTTCCTCTCTGACTGCAACTCTTCTAACACTGTATAAGCATTTTCAGAAATTCCTACTTTACATCCCATTGCACATATAAAAGGTGATTGGAGATGAACTTTCCAAAGAGAGGAGTCTTTTGAGAGTTCTCCCTGGCACTTAGGCTCTACTTCTAGTAGTCAGTTGTAAAGGCACTTGGCCTTGGTCGAGTTACAATTTGTTACGTATCTCTGTCCTCTGCACACTTTTCCTTTCAAATTTTTCTTTTCCGTGTCTCCCTACTCTGAAAAGTTCACCTTTTTTTCCCGTTAATGAATTAATAATGTCTGTGAACTCAGGTTATTTCACTAATCCAGTTTGGAGAATGAAATGGTTTTAAAATCTTCATTTTTCCTTTTTGGGGTGGGGAGTGATTTTTTTTTTTAATTTCAAACAATTCTTTGTCATTTGAACAACTTTACTGACATTCACATACACACATGGAATTTATCCCCTTGACACATATAGTCCAGTGGGTTGTAGTATATGGACAGAATCGGGCCACAGTCACCACAATCTAATTGTTGGACATTTTTATCATCCCAGAATGGAAACCCACACCTAGTAGTCATCCTTCTCCTGTCCTTCCCTTTCTTTTTTCTTTTTTTTTTTTTATATTTATTTATTGAATGACTGTGGGAAAAGTTACAAAGCTTTCAGGTTTAAGTCTTGGTCATGCAATGATCAAACACCTTTCCCTTTTCCAACACTTATTTTTCACCACCAAGAACCCCAATAAAATCTTCATTTTTCTTTGGAATACTGTTTAAGATGGTTGCATTTTTAAATCTTTATGTCATAAGTTGAATTTATGTTTCTTTATAATGTTGGTATTTCCTATTTTCGGATCAGTTCCTGTTTGAGGTTTACTTTCATGCTTTTCTCCTCTAATGCAGGGCATTACTGTACGGTGGAATGCGAGAATCTCAGCCTGAAGCAGAAATTCCTCTTCAAGACACCACTGCCGAGGCTTTTACCATGCTGCTCAAATACATCTACACTGGCCGGGCGACTCTGACAGACGAGAAGGAGGAGGTGTTGCTGGACTTTTTGAGCCTTGCTCATAAATACGGATTTCCAGAGCTGGAGGATTCTACCTCCGAGTATCTCTGCACCATACTCAACATCCAGAATGTCTGCATGACTTTCGACGTTGCCAGCCTCTACTCTCTCCCCAGGCTGACTTGTATGTGCTGCATGTTCATGGACAGAAATGCTCAGGAGGTGCTCGCCAGCGAGGGCTTCCTCTCTCTCTCCAAGGTGCGGTACTGCTTACGGGGAACCCACACCCAGGCAGCGGCGTCTTTCTATCTGTGCAGCAGAACTATAGTAGTGGATGAAGAGGTTTTTGTGTTTTTTATTCATTGCGTTCAAGGTTGTCTCTCTAGCCCCCTGGCTTCGGGATTCTAGATCATGGAGGAGAGGCAGATGGCTTCTGTTTCTTTGCATGGATGGCCCTCCTGGGGATGCCGTGTGCGCAGGAGACTGCTCTGGGCGGTGGTTTTCCAGGTGCCGGCAGGCAGGTGTCTCCTTTTGGTGCTGCACTGTCTTTGGCCTTATGTTTCTCTGGTGGTACAATAGACAATTCTTCATCACGAGAGAAAATTTATAAAGGAGATTTGATATGCCATTGAATATTTAAGCCATTGCTTTTGGGTTAGCTTAAAGTTCACTCTTACACTGTGAACACATATTAGTATTTATTACTACATTACATACCAAAACTGCTTAACTTTCTGACAGAACCCTGGATTAAAGATTATTGATGGCTAGATATTTAATTCTGGTCTGTGGAGAGCTCAGGAAGGTGTGAGGGCACATCTGATTAGATTCCCTGGTTGGCTCTCCCTTTCCTTTTCTATAATCTTGCTAGGACTTGAATATTTCGAATGAGAGAATCTCTCAGAAAAACCACATATTTGAGTATAAACTGTGGCTTTTATTACCTTATTACCTCTTTATTACTTAAAAAGTTAATTTCCAAAGGCAACGGTTTGTGAGGGGTTGTACTAGTGGTGCTGGAAGTCAGTCAATGCTCAGGAGGCGCTCGCCAGCGAGGGCGTCCTCTCTCTCTCCGAGGTGCGGAGAACCTGAAAGTTTGGAGGTGCATTGATACTCGAAACAAAAGATTTCGTTAAAAATCTTACTGTGTCTTACTGATTCATAAAGAACTCCAGGAATCTAGATGGGATAACTCCTCATGCTGTCTTCTTGTCTTATTAAATATGTGTTCAGACAGTTTGCAAAGAATAGATGTTTGATGTAATGACCAAAGAAGGTACTAACCTGTAATCCTTTCTCATTGCTCGCAGACCCATTAATGGACAAGAGAGTATAGGGCCCCAAAGAATGAGGAAAGCATACGGTCAAAAAGAGGGTAGTTGTCTGTACCAGGGATGTAGCTCAGTGATGAAGCACTTGCTTTGCGGGAATGAGGCTCTGCATTTCATCTTTGATACTGGGGGGGTGGTGGGGAACAACACAGTTAATTGTTTAAATATAAGTGGTACCTGATCTGAATGGCTTTATAATTCTGTATCTCAATTTTAAATATATATATGTCATACATTTAGTACTTAAGTTCTATTTTTATGTATTGATCGTATATGTGACTGGGCTCCATAATAAGTAGACTTTTCTTTTTTATCCTTTCAGACTGCACTTTTAAACATCGTATTACGAGATTCATTTGCAGCTCCTGAGAAAGATATTTTCCTAGCTTTGTTAAACTGGTGCAAGCAGAATTCAAAGGAGAATCACGCTGAAATCATGCAGGCTGTGCGTTTACCTCTGATGAGCCTTACCGAACTTCTCAATGTGGTGAGACCTTCGGGACTGTTATCTCCTGATGCCATTCTGGATGCGATCAAAGTTCGATCAGAGAGCCGGGATATGGACCTCAATTACAGAGGCATGCTCAGTAAGTTCCTCTTTATTCTAATTAAGCCAGGAAGCTGGTTTATGTCTTATCACAGTTTCAAGCTACAAAACTGAAGCTGCAAAGCTGGAGGGCAGGTATGTATGTCTGTGTTGCTCTCTGAACTTTACATCAGACTTTGCAAAATGCCTTGCCACCTGGCGAATGCCTTTTCCTGTCACTCTTCTTATGGGACCGCTCAGCTTTCATAGACCCCAGGTAGGTATTTCTTGTTGCATCTGAACATAGTTCTCCAGCTTCTGCCTACGATGGCAGGAGTAGATGCTGCCCCCAAATGTTTCTGCTTAGACTGATTTTTCTTCTTTTCTTCAATCAGTTCTCAATACATGTATATTATTATTTTAGGTACCATGAACACAGAGATTGTGATTTATTTTTAAGCCATTTTAAAAATTTTAAGGCATCATGATTTACAAAACTGTCAGTAAGAGTGTTTAGATATTTGACTTCCTAACTCCAGTCCCACCACAAATAGCAGTTCTCCTCAGCTGGTGACCTCAGGTTTCGCCTGTCTCTACCCTCAGCCCACCTGCTCAACAGGCACATTTTTGATTTGTATTTTAGATTGCATCTGGTGGACTCAGAGTTGACTCCTGGCTCTCACCCCTCCTGGTGGGGCTTGGGGAACCATACGTGGTACAGAGATCAGCCTGGGTTAGGTGCCTGCAAGGCAAGCAAGCGCCTTACCTGCTGGACTAGCTTTCCAGCCTTAGTGCATTTTTGTATTCAGACCTGAGTGGTATTTGTCGTGTCTCAGGCTTTAGAATTAGAGAAAGAAAACAATGTCTTGATTCTGCAAGTTTTTGCAAGGGAGCACATTCACCATTTCCATTGTTAATATTTACTTAATAAAAAATAATCTGTTCTTAGAGCTGCAGAGTTGAATTATTAATGTATAAATATGTATTTAAATCTGTGCTGCAGATTTAAATTATATATTATGTTTTAATTATATACCTGCTTTTGGTATTATAGACCTGTTTGTATTATTTCCAGAAACCTAGATCAAAATCGGGAGCTTTGCCGCTGGTATTGCATTGCTGCTTTTCTCATCTCGACTTCTGCTAGACTGAAGTTCTTGAGTATTATAATCATGTCTTTTCTCAGTACTACTACAGTTCCCTGAGTCCCAGGGATTCTGAGATATTTTTAAGTCAATTTTTAAATTTTAAGGCATCATGGGCTGGAGTGATAGCACAGCGGTAGGGCGTTCGCCTTACACGCGGCCAACATGGCCGACCCGAGTTCGATTCCTCCGCCCCTCTCGGAGAGCCCGGCAAGCTACCGAGAGTATTCGATATGCCAGACACAGTAACAACAAAGTCTCCAATGGAGACGTTACTGGGCCCGCTCGAGCAAATCGACGATCAACGGGAGGGCCTTTACCTTTACCTTTACCTTATGGTTTACAAAATAAATGAGTGAATGAATGAATCTATCTTTCATATCTAAACCAGAATTTAAAATGGGTTTTCTTCATAAAGATAGTAACAGTAGCAAACCTTTAATAATTAAAAAAATTCAACTTTTATTGGGCTGGAGCGATAGCACAGCGGGTAGGGCGTTCGCCTTACAAGTGGCCAACATGGCCGAACCGAGTTCGATTCCTCCGCCCCTCTCGGAGAGCCCGGCAAGCTACCAAGAGTATTCGATATGCCAGACACAGTAACAACAAAGTCTCCAATGGAGACGTTACTGGGCCCGCTCGAGCAAATCGACGATCAACGGGAGGGCCTTTACCTTTACCTTTACCAACTTTTATTATTTTATTTTCCCAGCCACAGTTTTCCTATCTTCATTGGTAAATGAAATACTCCTATCAAATAAGTGTTTCTCTATGGAGGCATTTAGTATCTGACATATGCTCTTGTCCCCATTAGACAGAATGAACTAGCCGCTGGCAGTCTGAGCACATGGAAGGCAGCATTCTCTTGGAAGTCAGGTTGGGGAAGACATCCAGATGTCCTAGGGAACAGAATTTTTTGGTGGGCAGAGAATCAAGCCCGATCCCAAATAATCTATCAGGAGGGAGCAACCATCTCACACTTGAGAGTTCAATAAAAGATGATTAACAACACTACGAATAAAGTCCAGGGTGATCAACCCAGCATTATTCAGATTTTGGCTCTAGGTGGATCAGGGGACAGTCTGCTCCAACCCGGCTGTTTTTTTTCTTTTTTCTTTATACTTATTTATCCTAACTGTAAAGCCTCAAAGTATCATTGCTAATGTTTGTAAAATGTATCAAACTTTACAAATATGAAGGAAACAGTGTACTAGTTTACTTAATTCCGACCACCCTACCCTACATTTTCTTTTATTCGGTTTCTCGTTTGAGAGAAAAATCTAGGAAGAAATAATATTTACATTTAAATTTTTATTGGGTTGGAGAGATATCTCAGTAGGCACATGCTTTGTATGGTACTGTATAGGGTCCCCCCAAGCACCACAGGAAGCCACCACACACACCAAGCTGGGGTGGTTATAGAGACTGCTGGGTGTGGCTGAGAAAGAAAACACAATAAAAATATTATGACTTAGAATTTTGGGAGCACCCACACCAGGCTGTACTCAAGACTTTCTCCTGGCTCTACTCCTACAAATTGTTCCAACGTAGGGTATAGTATGTGGTACTGGGGCTGGGACCCTGTTGGCTGTAGGCAAGGCAAGTACCTTCCTTCCTTACCTGCTCTGCTCTCTCTGGCCCTGACTTAAATTTTTTCATGACCACTTTTAGTTTTCTTCTTTTTGGTTTTTGGGCCACAGCTGGTGGTGTGCAGGGTGCCGGGGTGCCAGGGATTGAATCCAGGTCAGCTGCCAGCAAAGCAAGAGTCCTGCACACTCTATTCTCTCTGGCCCCTCATGGCCACTTTTCTACTTAAAATCATTTAAATAGATTTTGAAACACACCGGAGGTTATATTTTTATCCTGTTAGATACTCAGATTATAGTTACCATGGGAGTTTCTACTTGTGTAACTGTCCCTCATTTTGAAATGAAAGATCCTTTTCACAGAATCTACATCAAGAACAGTTAGATCTCAAGTGCTCTTGAAATAAACTTCAAAAGAAGACTTTAGACTTGTGGTAGAAATTTTATTTCCTTTTTAGACTTTTAGATGCAACCATTGAATCTCTTGTGCCTGCTATGTTATTTCTAGCCAGATGAGTTTTAGTTTTAGAATGAAGCCAACGTTGCGTAACATCAGCCTCTAACTCGGAAAGCTTCAGATCCTTTTTGTGGGGTCCTCACTCAGGTGCAGGAACTGGAGGTGGAGCAGTAGCACTCGTGTACCTCCACATACTCAACAACAAGGGAACAATTTTTTTTCCCACTTAAATATTTTTTTATTGCCTCTGTTGTCATTGTGGTGGAAGTTATACACATTCGATTACATTGCTCCTACACTTGGTGGAAGTACTTGCACATGTGCTCACTCTGGCGAGCGCATGTTAGTTACAGTGTTCAAACACATTTTGATTAGAGGGCTCCTGGGAATCAGTCACACGTGTGCGGTGTGCACTGAGCTGTCCTGGGGAGGGCTCCACAGGAAGTAGCTATAGGTCACTGGCAGTAGAAGAAACCCCGTTTGAAACTTTTGCTTACAAAGTACCTAGAGGTTGGAGAGATAGTGCAGTTGGTAGGGCACTTGCCTTGCATGCAGCTGACCTGGGTTCAACCTCTAGCACCTGAACATGGCCAGGAGTGATAATTGAGCAAGAGTCAAGAGTAAGCCCTGCACTGCAGGGTGTGACCCCGAAACAAAAAAGAACAAAAGAACAGGAAAGTGTGCTTTTCCTCTATATTGGAGGGAGCAGGAGGGCAGGGCCTGTCTGCCTCGTTCACTGAGTGATTTCCAATACTTCATGCCACATGGTAGCAGAGGCTGGTAGCAGGGCTGGAGTGATAGCACAGCAGTAAGGCGTTTGCCTTGCGCGCAGCCAGCCCGGCCGAACCAGGTTCGATTCCTCCCCCCTCTCGGAGACCCTGGCAAGCTACCGAGAGTACCTCGCCGCACGGCAAAGCCTGGCAAGCTACCCATGATGTATTCAATATACCAAACACAGTAACAACAAGTCTCAAAATGGAGACGTTACTGGGCCCGCTCGTGCAAATCGATGAACAACGGGAGGACAGTGTTTGTTTGTTTGTTTGTTTTGACATGCCACATGGTAGAGAGCAAATACACAAAATTTTTTTTCTAATTGTTTCATAGTTCTGTAATATGTCACTTGTGATTTAAACTTTGTCATAATACCATGAGATGGGTTGACAGGGTACTTATTTAATAGGAAAGTAGATCAGAGACACAATGAGACTTGACTCAGAGTGATGGAGCCTCAAACTTAGTTCTTTCTCTTTTGAAGTCTCACTTGCCATCCCACATAGTAGACTGGGATGACGTTGGAGGGGAAAGTATTGCCTTCGCACTGGACACTCTGCATGAGGGAGATGGCTGAGCACGGGATGCCAAGCCAGGCCACAGGGACAGGTTGCCTGTGGGTTTACTGGCCCTCTGCTCTTTGCTGCCTGCTTGATCTTGGATGGGATTCCATCTTACCTTTTCTTTATCCTTTCTCTTCACTTACAATGGATGCAATAGTATCACTGGACTCAAAGGATGATTATGGTAAATCAAAGGAATTAATTCGTTTTTTCAAGAAAAAAATAGGAAGGGTATTTATGATTATCATGAGCTAATAGAATTTAGGAGGTGGCAGTTTAATTTCTTTATGTTAGGAGTTGAACAAGTCTCACAATTTGTTGTGAGATGTTACTGGTGCCTGCTCGAGCAAATTGATGAACAACGGGAGGACAGTACTACAGTGCAGGAGTTGAACAGGCAGGAGTGATAGCACAGCTAGTAGGACGTTTTCCTTGCTCAAGGCCAACCCGGGTTCAATTCCTTCGCCCCTCTCGGAGAGCCTGGCAAGCTATCCCGCCTGCACGGCGGAGCCTGGCAAGCTCCCCGTGGCATATTTGATGTGCCAAAAACAGTAACAAGTCTCACAATGGAGACGTTACTGATGCCCGCTCGAGCAAATCGATGAACAACGGGAGGACAGTGCTACAGCACAGTGCCGGTGTTGAACATAACTTGGTTTGTTTCTGAGTTGACTAATTTCTTTCACCCCTTCCATCCTCTTCGTTGTTTTGATGACTGGTCGCCACACCCACGTGGTTGTGGTGTGCCAGAGGTCACATACTTAGGGAAGGCTTCTGGGACAGTGGCAGAGCTGCTGGGACTGCATTGGGCAGGTGGCATGGTACAAGGGATTAAGCTTCTGGCTCGAGCCAGCGAGGCAGACACTGTACCGCTGTGCTTCCCCAGGTTCGTGAGTTGCCTTTTTCTTTCGAAAATTACCTAAACCTACTCCAACCCCTATTTTCCAGCCACATGTATTATTGTCTTTGGAAGCCACTTTTTACTTCTCTTCATTAAAAAAAAGTTTTAATGCATGTTTGCCAAGAAATCTGCAATGATGAATTACTTATCTCCTTTCCCTAAGAGCCTAATTATAGCTCACACTTTCCCATATTCAAATCACATAGCTGTGATGTATATGTACTGTTGAGAATTCAGTATTTATTTACAGGCTATAAACTTGCTTAGTTCTCTTATTTTGTATGCTTTTTTCCTGTGCATTTCACAACAATAATGGTGGTCTTTAATTTTTTTCAGTGCTTACTATGTGCTTTGCAAACATACTCTCATTTATTCCTTAAAACAAATAAACAAAAACACTTGGGAGAGAGAGATTGCTCTATTGGGAGATTGAAGTTGAGAGAATATAATTTTCTCAAATTGATAGGCTTGACTAAGACAGCGCCATAATTTAAATTGTGACTTTGAAATTCAAACTTTTAACGTTGATTTAACCTTCTTGACCTCCCATAGAATGTTTTTGTTTTAGAATGTTAGTATCTAAAGATAGATTCCAGATCTGTGAAACAAAATTTATACAGAGGACTTTAGAGTCCCAAGAATACATCACGGTCACGGTCCTCCCGTTGTTCATCGATTTGCTCGAGCGGGCCCAGTAACGTCTCCATTTTGAGACTTGTTGTTACTGTGTTTGGCATATTGAATACGTCACGGGTAGCTTGCCAGGCTTTGCCCTGTGGGCGAGATACTCGTGGTAGCTTGCCAGGCTCTCCGAGAGGGGTGGAGGAATCGCAAAGGAATCGAACCTGGCTTGACCAACCAGCAGCACTCAAGGCAAACGCCCTACCGCTGTGCTATCGCTCCAGCCCAAGAATACATAAGAAATCTAATATGGAGAGGCAAGTGGGGATGGGGTTAATTCTAACCATACTATTGATTTTGATGATAGACTAACGTTTCGTTTAAGAAATCCTTCAGTGAGACACAGCATTATCTTCTTTTAAACATATTCATGTATTTTAACCAGAGCAGTTTACCATGTCTATGAATGAACAACAGCTCTGTGATATTAGAACCTTTCATTTTCATTAGTTTTATCAGATATATGACTTGTCTGCTTTGCTTTTAATTAAACGTAGTGTTTAGTTTAGATGGACCTACCTACTATTTTTTCACTTTAGATATTAATTTAAAGTGTCTAACAGAATTAACTCAGAGGAACTATTTTGTTTGACTTAGTAATATCTTTTCTAGTATTATTAGCTTTTTCTTGATAACATTGGTCTCAGGCACTTATTAACTGTGTCATTAAATGTGGCGCATATCTTCATTCTCATAGACATTCTTTATCTTCCATCTCTGTAAACTTTCCCTGCAATTTAAAGGTAAGGTAAAGGTAAAGGCCCTCCCGTTGATCGTCGATTTGCTCGAGCAGGCCCAGTAACGTCTCCATTGGAGACTTTGTTGTTACTGTGTCTGGCATATCGAATACTCTCGGTAGCTTGCCGGGCTCTCCGAGAGGGGCGGAGGAATCGAACTCGGGTCGGCCATGTTGGCCGCTTGTAAGGCGAACGCCCTACCGCTGTGCTATCCCTGCAATTTAAAAATTAAATTTGCATACTAGAATCAACTACAATTTTATTCTTTTACTCCCACTATGAAATGATTTAATAACCATTAAACTTACCTTTTTTTTTTTGATCTTTTCTTTTCTTGTCTTTTCTTACCATAGTACCAGAAGAAAACATTGCAACGATGAAGTATGGAGCTCAGGTTGTAAAGGGGGAGCTGAAATCCGCTTTGTTAGATGGTGATACTCAAAATTACGATTTGGATCATGGGTTTTCCCGGCACCCAATTGATGATGACTGCCGTTCTGGCATCGAGATTAAGCTGGGCCAGCCATCCATTATTAATCACATAAGGATACTCCTGTGGGACCGTGATAGCAGGTGAGTGAACCACTGATATGACTTGCAGAGAATCTGACATGTTTGGTTGAGATGGCCTCACCTTGTGGTCACCTCATTTGCTTTAACAGGCTTGATGGCTTCTTTCTTTGCAGTCACTTTGCTATTTCTGTCAAAGTTGAGTTCTGACAAAAGAGTTTAAAAGCATATTCCTTTAAAAATAACTTTTGCCTTTTCCTGTTTATAAAAACAGTGAATGTGTTGACTATAGAAAAGTTAAACACAATAAATGAAATAAAAACTAGTAATCTCTCTGCTCCCTGTTAGATAGCTAACCAGCACTTTTGTTTTGCTGTAGTCACACAAATTAAAAACCTGAATGCATATAATTCCACAAAATAAAGATTAGGTAATACGAGAAGCTGACTTTGTTTTTCTAATTGATACATCATGAAGCAGGTAGGGTGTTTGCCTTGCACGTGATCAACCCAGCTGACGCAGGTTCGATTCCTCTGCCCCTCTCAGAGAGCCCGGTAAGCTACCAAGAGTATCTCGCCTGCACAACAAAGCCTTGCAAGCTACCCGTGACATATTCGATATGCCAAACGTCACAATGGAGACGTTACTGGGCCCACTTGAGCAAATTGATGAACAATGGGAGGACAGTGACAGTATGAACATATCTTTTCTTTTTTGGTTGAGGGGGGCACACCTGGTTATGATCAGGGCTCACTCCTGGCTCTGCACTCAGGAATGAACTCCTGGCAGTATTTTGCGGACCATATGGTATGCTGGGGATCGAACCCAGGCCTGCTGCATGCAAGGCAAATGCCCTTTAGCTGTACTGTCGCTCTGGCCCCACATCATGAACATTTCTAATCTTTTAAAAACATTCTCCACTTCATCTAACTCATATGTGGTACACAAAGGAACAAAACAAGGGAATGGAAAGCTTTCTGTGAAAACAAGCCCTGGGTCTCTGACTATGTCACCAAGGTTACAAAGCAGAAGGGCGGGACGGACAACCTAGAGGAGACACGAGAGCGGCAGAAGGTCTCTGGAACTTGGGCGATGGTGAGATGCGATGCACTGTGTATTCCAGGAGCACAAACTCTCAACACTATAACCACTTTACCTCGGCTGCAGTAGCTAAAAATTATATAAATGAAAAAGATTTCTCTGAAGGGTTATTTTGAATGATTATATGGCTTACCATTATTTTATTTACTTGAGTTTTTATTTTTGGATATATTGATAACTTTTTGATTCATTTTATCATATTGAAGAAGAAACACACACACACACACACACACACACACACACTGGTACCACCTGAGTAGATTATTACTGCCTTGTCAGAGAGAGAACAGAAACAGGCGAGTTGGAGGTCTCCCTCTGTCCTCCCTGGCCTGAGTCAGCTCTTCTAACTCAGTAAGAGACAGACAGTTTGTGTTTTGGTGTCTGGAAAAATACCATACACAAAAGAAAAGGAAAAAATTTTGTAAAAAATCAGGTAGCGAGTGCCCGAGAACAGATGACTGGTTAAAGAAATTTTGGTACAGCTACACAGTGGAATACTATGCAGCTGTTAGAAAAGATGAAGTCATGATATTTGCATATAAGTGAATCAATATGGAAAGTATCATGCTAAGTGAAATTAGTCAGAAAGAGAGGGACAGATATAGAAAGATTCCACTCATCTGAGGAATATGAAGAATGGAAGACTAACACTCAGGAATAGTAGCCTGGAGGCCAGCCACACATGCTAGGGGAAAAGGGAGCTCAGATAGAGAAGGGAGCACCAAATAAAGGGTGCTAGGAGGATCCTCCCAGGATGGGAGATGGATGCAGAGAGTAGACTATAGACCGAACATTATTGCCACTCAGTGCCTCTTTTGTAGACCACAACACCCAAAAGGAGAGACAGAACAAAAGGGAATGCCCTGCCACAGAGGCAGGGTGGGATGGGGCCGGGGTGGGGGGGGCGGGGAGAATAGTAGCGGTAAATACCAGGAGGTTTGCTTCAGGGCTTGGAAGCCGGCGGCACATGCTCGGGGGAAAGGCAGCTCGGACAGAGAAGGGACCACCAAATAAAGGATGCATGGAGAAGCTGCTCAGGATGGGAGATGTGTGCTGAAAGTAGACTATAGATCGAACACGATGGCTACTCAATACCTCTATTGCAAACCACAAAACCCAAAAGGAGAGAGAGCCAAAGGGAATGCCTTGCCACCGAGGCAGGATGGGGTGAGGGGGAATGGGGTGGGCGTGGTGGGAGGGCTACTGGGATCATTGGTGGTGGAGAATGGTCACTGGTGGAGGGAAGGGTACTCAATCATTTCATAACTGAAATGCAAGCACGAAAGTTTATAGGTCTAGAACTGTACCTCATGGTGATTCACTAATAAAAAATTAAAATAATCAGGTAGACTCTAGTCCAAGAACCCACACAGTTCTACTGTGGATTCAGGAGTCAGCCTCCTTCCACTTACGCTGATATTTTCATATCACCGTGACTTGTCGTCTCCAGCTATTTTGATAGAGGTACCAGGAGAACTACCTCTGAGACATGAGGCTCGACTGTTAAGTCATGACGTGGTAGGACATGGTTTCCGTCATGGTGGCTGAGCCATGAGAATGTGTTGTCTCCTTCATTGCCACTTACCATTGGCCAGAAACTGACATGACCTGGGGTCTGGGCAGGAAGACTTAGTAGTCAGCGTGCTGATACCCTGCACATTTTCGAGGTTAATTAATTGTCTTGCTCTGGAAGAGAAGTAACAACACTGGCCACTACCCTGGCATCTTAGGCCCTTTGAAGTATGAGGGAAGCTTTATGAATGGACATCAACATTTCTTGTAGTCATGAGGGGCTGTGGGAATTGTTGGCACCTTGGTCAAGATTTCATGTTGTTATTACCCTATTTTTGAATTTTTTTGGAATTTGGCCACAGCGCTGGTACAGTAGGTGGGGCGCTTGCCTTGCATCCAGCTGACTGTGATTCAGTTCACAGCATCCCATATGCCCCCTCAAGCCTTAACAGGAGTGAGCCCTGAGCACCACCGGGTTTGTCCCCCTAACAAACAAAAACAAAGAATATATATTTGGGGGGATCTAGAGATGAAATCATGAGCTACAACATCAGACCCCAGTGTACCCATTGCTGCTTATGTACACTGAGGTGGCCCTGACAGTTCAGTTGTTAGGGATCCTCAGTGGGACAGGACCCAGAGATGGCTTGGTGGTAACGGAAACACCCGGGGTGTTCCACTCCCTGTGCTGTGCATGTGCAGAGCCCATCCTGACTACACATGGTCTGGGGTCCCCAGCTGGAAGGGAAAGAAGAGGCATGAAATGGACAATACACATGTTTCTAGGAGTCTCTAATAATAGTGAAATACTATTATTACTTATATAGCATTTTCATTATTTTATGTGGTAGGCACTAGTCACTAGTGAAATTATTATAAAAATTAGAAAATGTTGGGCTGGAGCGATAGCACAGCGGATGGGGCGTTTGCCTTGCATGCAGCTGACCTGGGTTCAATTCCTCCATCCCTCTTGAAGAGCCTGACAAGCTATCGAGAGTATCCCACCCACATGGCAGAGCCTGGTAAGCTCCCCATGACGTATCGATATGCCGAAAACAGTAACAACAAGTCTCACAATGGAGATGTTACTGGTGCCCACTCGAGCAAATCAATGAACAGTGGGACGACAGTGCTACAGGAAATGTTCGTGTATTTAAAGCTGAAATTAATCATCATTGTGATTTCTCTGATACTAAACACTCAAAGGCTTAGCATGTGCGTTGCATTCATGTAGGAATTAAACTCTCTTTGTAAGTTATTATTCTAAGTAAAGGTGAAAAATTCCAGATCTTAAGCCAAAAAAGATTCTGAATGTGTTGTAAAATTATATCCTGCAATGCTGATCACCCTGAGAAGTTCAATAAAAGGTTATAGCCAGTTTGAAACCAAGCAGTGACGTGAATGGGAGTGAGGGGACAGCAGAAACGAGGGGGTGATACAAGATAAGCTGACCTTTCCTGGCCACGACTCTTGGCTGCACACTGACATTTATGGTCACCTAAATCTTCGAAGATTGTTCTCATTGATATTATTGTACAAGTAATAACTGCATCTCAGATTTAAATGTGGCTTGCAGAGGTCTGTTCTGTTGGGGCCAGCGTGTCAGGGTGCAGGGGAGATTCCAGAGGAGGATGATAGGATGTTTAAATTATTAACCAGATAATTAACAGGAAATGTTTAAGTGCTACACAAAAGAAATTGGTATTTTTTTCTTCACCCTTGTTATTTATTTTTCTGCTGGCTGTGTGTTTGCGTGGGGTGGTGCAAGATTAGGAGGAAACCGGGGAGAAGCAAGTGTCTCTTGGGAACCATTCTGAATTGGCTTTCCTCCTGAGGAGGAACAGCTGCGCGTCCGGGCCAGGGAGGGCAGAGGGAGAAGTCAGACCTTCTCCTCTGTTTCTTTCCTCTTTATGTCAAGACGCTATTAATCTACCCAGGGGTCTGCGCAAGGCATCCGAATCCTGTTTGAAAAAGAACAGATGTGTTGCATGATCTGTTTGTGCCAAATGCTGTGCCCGAGGATGTGAAGATAGACATGGCATAGTCGCCCTTGTTCATTAGGAACCTGTGTTCTACTAAGGCAGACTGACATGCTAAGAAATAGTTTTAGCATTTGTACAGTACAGGAATCTACACACATTTTATTATTAAAAGAATTTGTTAATGCAGGAAATATAAGGAGTGAATAGTGTGATTTTGTACCCTATAGCATGTTATTAAGGCATAATTTTGTATTCTTACTTTAATAAGCTTCCCCTCCACCTTTTTTGTTTGATTCACAGGTCTTATTCATACTTCATTGAGGTGTCCATGGATGAACTCGATTGGATCAGAGTGATCGATCATTCTCAGTATCTCTGTCGTTCTTGGCAAAAGTTATATTTTCCAGCCCGGGTCTGCAGGTTAGAACTCATGCCTAATACGTAATTTTGATATTTCTTTGAAGATTTGGACTTTAAGAAAAATAATGTTTTTCTTGTCTTGTGGAAATAAGGATTTCTTCAGGGTATCAGCTTCCAAACACATGCCAACTGAAAACAGTGGAAATGTGGAAAATTCTTCATTTTCCTATTAGAGCAGACTGTGGAATTGCCTATCCAAAGAATTCTGTAACATATTTATATTCGTATGGTATATAAGTAAATGAGGAAGAAGGCAGGGAGATCATTGAAAAATAGAAAATTTAAAAAAATTTTATGGTGTACATTGAAAGGAGTTGCTGTGACATGTGAATTCTCTCTATGAAAGCTAGGAGGAATATTTCTGGGTTTTCCTGATGTTCCTCTGGGCTGGGAGGAGGATTTTGGATTGTCACTGTGCATGTTCTGAGTATCTGTATTTTTTTCCTAGGTCAGTGTATTAGTAGTATTAGTGGGTTTAGACATAGCAGATATTTTTGGTGGGTTGGGAGTGGGTAAAGGAAGCTGAACTGGTGGGCTCAGGCTAATCTTACTGTTACGGACTGCAGCCCCTTGGGCAGTCCTGAGTCAACAGAGCTAGGAGTGTCCCCTGAGCATGGCTGAAAACAAAACAAAACAAAACAAAAGGAAAAACCACTGTTTGAGTGTTTCGTAGTCTTCCTTAAGTATGAGCCATCTGAAATCTCTCAAAACCTGGAGGAATAATGAGTCTGATAGTTGGAAAAGGGGCCTTGAGACTGTGCTGTGTTTTCATTACAATTTTTTCCTGGGAAATTACCTCCAGATATTCTCTACCTTCAGTCAAAAGATTGAAGCCCGCCCTTCCCCCCCACCCCCCCAAAAAAGTTGGTTTGTTTAGTCAGTTGTGGGAAGGAACCTGGAGCCTGCTGCTTTCTGCAGACCCCACCCCCAGCCACGCTGCCTTGGCCTGGGCTGACCGATTTTGCCTGAGCACCTGGGAGTGTCCCACAGCATTTAGTTTCACATGATACTTCCTAAACTCAAGATCTAACAACATCAGGCTGGATTTCTTTCTTTTTTTTTTTTTTTGGTAACCTCAGGAAATTCCACAGAATGTATCAGCCTCTTGTACAGTAAAGAATGTTGCCTACATTATTTTTATTATGGGTATGACTGAACCCAATATTGTTACCCAGGGATCCTCATATGTGAAAATGAAGAAAATAAATTTTGTTTCCCCAAAGAGGGACTAACGTGTCTTGGGTCTGACGGTTGCTCTTTCATCAGAGAAGTCTTGAATGGATTAGAATCAGAGGGACGAGAAATTGAGTGAGGATTGAGTCTCTCAGAGCTGCCTGGGGATACTTTGAGAGTGACAGAGGGGCCCCTGAGGTGGAGGAAGAGATTGAGTCTGCATCGATGCAGGTTATTACCATGGTGTCGGGTTAAAAAATAAGCAACGTAACAGCCAGAGCATCTGATGTGGGCCAGAGGACTGTGTGTTAGTATTTAATTTGAGACAATAGCAACAGGACTCCCAGAACGAATTGTTGTGAATAAAATATCAGCCTTGACAGCATCTCTGTGCTTTACCCGGAAATTCCTGTTTGTGGAGGAGACATGTGCCTTGGTCATGATCTCTGGCTTTTAGAACATCCCCTTTTCCTTATTTATTAATGGACATTATTTCTGCTCTCCTCTCCCGGTTTTATCTCTTGTATGACCTTGCCTTCATTGCGATAGCTTCCGTGTGTTTTAAAGCCTGACTATATCCATCACGTTAGCTCTTGGGATAGCTGGCTCCTGGCTCTGGTTTAGAAAAACTGAACAAAGGTGATATTAGTGATAATAAGAAAAAAGAAGGGGTCTTGATACCTGTAATGTATTAGGAAACTTTAATTTGTATTAATTACTATATTCATTCATAAATTCTGCCTCTTATAATAAATACATTGAAATTTTGTTCGTATTCTAAATGTATCTGAGAGCATGATCTTATTGGTTACCCAAGGATGGCTTATAGTTGGTGTTCCTTATCTGCACAATCATTTATTGACCACCTAAACAGTATTCTAAATGCACTTCTTCCAGGAACTTCACCCGGCACATATAAATCGTTTCCTTAGCATGGTAGTGTTTAGATTGCGTTATGTTTGCTAATTTGCACATTTGTACCTTCCCTTTGTTCTACAGTGTCCTTTGCATATTCGTCTCGCCTCTGATAATAAAATTATAAGTCCAGGGCCAGAGCAATAATACAGCGAGTAGGACACTTGCCTTGCACACAACGAACCTTGGTTTGATCCCTGACATTCCCTATGGTCCTCTGAGCACTACCAAGATGATTCTTGAGTGCAGTGCCAGGAGTAACCCCTGAGCACCAACAGGTGTGGCCCCAAAACCATGACCAAAAAAATAAACCACATGTCTTTAGAAACAAGAAGTATCGATTCTAATCTTTTTCCTTTCTCCTTGGGGGTGGGAAAACTCTTAGTTATGTGGGTTACTTCTGGTGATGCCTGGGTGGCTTGTATTGCGGGGGACCGAATCAGGGCCTCACGCTCATAAGGCCGTGCTCTCCCACGGTCCCCGCTGTCCTCTGTCCCGGCAGCTCCCTGTGAAGAGACTGTTCCTCACCACAGAAGCCTAGGCTTCTTGAATGTTCCTGGGTTACTTGTCTCTGCACAGCAATCTAAAATATTCAAGGAACCGTTCTCTTATTCTGAGCAACCTACCCATTTGTGAGTTTCCCACAATTTCCATATATTTTGGGTTTGGTAAAGCTTTTTGTTCATGTTTTTGTGGGAGAATGTATATGCCATTCATATATCTTTTGAAATATCACTCATTCGGCTTTTCACCTTGTGTCTCAGGCATTAAAGTCAGCATATTCATTCCAACCACAATGGTTAATTGAAGGCAATGATTAGCTGTTTCTGGGTCCTTTTATAGAATGCCTTGAGGATTAAGTGGGCGCTGCTCTAGGTAGCCCAAAGTTTAGGCTAAGAACTCCATCTCTCCTCCTAGCCCTTATGTAGAAATAAAGAAAATGACTGGCCAATTTCAGTGCGAACTTTCAGATGCTCTCGGAACCATGTTATCAGCTTTCTCTTTTCTCAAAAGTTAATTTCCACTTTACTCATAAATTCTCCAACTTTTAAATTGTCTTCTTGGCCATCTAGTAAGGTTTGTTCGGCTCCCCACACAGCATTCGTAGTGTGTGGAACCTAGCACCACCCCACCAGAATTAGCAGAGTGGTAAATCATGAGTGCCCTTGAGGTATTTATTCTTTTTTTTTTTTTAATTTTTATTAGTGAGACACCATGACGTACAGTTGTAGATTTACAAATTTTGTGCTTGGGTTTCAATTATACAACGATCAAATACCCATCCCTCCACCAGTACCCATTTCCTACCACCACAGATCCCAGTATCCCTCCCACCCCCCATCCCCCCCATCCCACCCAGCCTCTGTGGCAGGGCATTCCCCTCTGTTCTCTCTCTCCTTTTGGGTGTTGTGGTTTGCAAAAGAGGCAGTAGCGGCAATCATGTTTGGTCTGTAGTCTATTTATACTTTTTTTGTTTCTCAATATGATTCTGGAAGTTTGGCATCTTTGTAACAGTGGCTGAGATACACGAAAACTTGAAAGCCTTGGTGTGAATTGGTAGAGGTGGGTTTTAGCGCCTGCATGTGGCTGCAGCCTAGAGTTACTACAGTGTTCGTGGTGTCAGACGGGGAGGGGGGTTACGGGAGTGGAAGCGTGGCTCTAAGGGCAAAGTTTGCAGGAGGGAACCCCGGGAGGGCAGGAGAGGTGGTGGCTCCAGCCTGAACTGCATTGGTGCGGAGAGGTCAGAGGACACGCAGGAGTGGAAAAGAAATCAGTGAAGGGGCAGATGACAGTTGAGTACTTGGCACAGGAGAGATGAACTCGATTAACAAAAAAATAAGCTGATTTCTTTAGTTTTTAATTATCAAGCTAAAAATGTCTTTTTAATGATAGTTTCATTGTAAAATAATAATAAAATATGTACTTTAAAGCTTGCCCTCTTAAGGTTGAACCCTTTTCTACCAGTAGTCATAAAATGCCCCTTTTCAAGACCCTCACCATAGTAGTTATTGTTAATATTTTGCCAGTGTGACTTGGAATTTGTTAAGTCTTGGTTTTAATTTTTTCCCCCCTCATCAGTGAGGTAGAGGGATTTTTTTTTTTCATTAAATACTGGTCATTTATTTTGTCTTACTTATAATCACCTCTGTTTTGTCTTTAGCATATATTTTTTAGGGTAATTACCATTTTGTCTTTGGATTGTGAAGACTATTATTAATATGTTGATAAATGCACATTGATAGTGTTGGGTACGTTTACATATATGTGAGTGTATATGGCTATGTGACATCTTTTTTTCTTTTATATATGTTGCAAATTATTATCTAATATTTATTAACTTTTGACATTATAAAGTTTGCATTTAAAAATCATCTTTTTAAAGATTTCTGGTGGTTTAGTATTATGTTTAGAAAGGGACTCTTCACTCTGAACATTAAAGAAAAGATATATGTGCTATATATTTTTATAAAATATTTTATGATATTTTAAATATTTTTATCTTGCATGTATTTTCTTTATATCTAGAGATTTATCCAGCCAATAAGCTTTTCATGTATCTGTACAGTTGGGGATAGTTAATTGAGTAAAACCATTTAGTTAATAATATTTCAATTGACTAAAACCATTTAGTTAATAATATTTCAATTGACTAAAACCATTTAGTTAATAATATTTCAATTGACTAAAACCATTCGGTTAATAATATTTCAATTGACTAAAGCCATTTAGTTAATAATATTTCCTTACCAATAATATTTCCTTACCATATGATTGTCCATATTTATCATGTGTCAAGTTCCAGCATATGGAATTTGATTTCTTTGAGTGTTGCTGAAAGTTTTAATTATGTAGTTTTCCATCCTTTCTTTTTCGTCTTCTCTTGAAATAAGAAATGATAATGAACCAAATGA